ACTGCACTTTTACTACAGTCCCAACGGTAACAGAACAGTTATAATTTTACTTTATTTCGCAGTAACTCTTGTACTCTTACGTATGTATCTATATGTCCCTACATAAGTCTTTATTGAAAAAGTGGTCGTTTTTTTTATATAAACTAACCCATTATAAATTCAGCGGAACATTTGTAAATATCCTCACTTTGCACTGATTTTTCTTTTAAGTTTTCCAAAACAAACTTAAACAGCCTCAGCCGGGCGCCACAGCGTGAGCAGCAGAGAGGCGTTGCCGTGGGAACGGAAGGAGGAATCTGCGCAACGGCACGCGCACAGCCTTCCCCCGGGGCTCTCGACTTTTGCGACTGCCGGGTCGCCTGGCCGGGACTGCCCCTCGGAGCACAAACAGATGCAGTGGGTCTCTGTGTGTGCGCTCTCTCTATAAAAGAGAGGACGGGGAGCAGCTTCACGGAACGTCGCCGCGCCGGGCATGAGCGCGAAAGCAGAGCTGCGATAATGCGGGGGAAATAAAAACGACTTTGTAAGCACGTCTCCGTGCATGACTGCAGACTAAACAGTCCGTGAGCTGACCCCCTCCCCCGGGAGGTCAATAGCTAATTGATCCGACGACCGGAACCCGCCGAAACGGGCAGGAAGTCCGAGCGCACTGCAGCTTTGCCCGAAAGGGCGGGGAGTTGGCGCTCCTATCCGCCGGGGGCTTCAGCGATGTCGGGAAACATCTTCCATCTCACCTCACGGGGCCGGTCCGTATTTCCCAAACCAACACGGCTGGGATATACTGAGCTTGAAACGGTCTGTAGGCACGGACCTGGCCTGCGTTCAGTACGCGCAGCAGGAACAATACTACAAAACGTTTTCTGCAAGCCGAGAGCGCCGAGTAATGTTATCCAACAGCCCGGAGCGCTGGGCGCATCCGACAAGAAGAGAGAGAGAGGCAAAAGATCAGTTAAGGGCGCTTGCGTGTTCACGAAAACAGCCCTCGGAAACCTTAACTGCCTCGTAATCTCATTATGATGTACCTTGCCCACATCAATATTTGTAATTGTATGCCCGGACTCCAGCAGGGGGACAGGCGTGTTCCCGGAAGAGCGCAGCTGTTCCCCCACTCCAGTGTCTCAATTAGCCAGCTCAGCTGGCGGCGAGACCTCCTGCTCAGAGCCCGCTGGAAACCAGCCAGAGTCTGATTGAAGTCTCCAGCATCCGACGTTCACGACTTCAAACAGCAGCACCTTCGACCAAATAAAAACTCCACATCAGAGTATTAAACACCATTGGGATTTCTTCCACGGAGCAGATTGTTTCCAGAGTGCGTCCTGCCCTGCCCACTATGACGATGCCCACGAAGTACTGTACGCGAGCAAGGTCTCAAGATACAGCGGCCGGGGCTGCGAGTATCAGGCATCCGGCCTGACAGCGCGGCATCTACGACGAGAAATTAATCTGCCCGCAGAAACGCTGGTCACAGGTTTCGCGTTACAGATAAAAGCTCGGGATAAACATGGGCAGTATGAGGAAGCGGGACTGAGTTTTAAAACGAATTAAACATTTACTGTAAAACCCTCAAGCCTAATACATCTGCTTACCTCTTATAAAAGAATGGAATCTTAAATAGTGAGGCTGCAATTAGGCGTCATTTTCCATGTCTGCAAAGGAACAAGTTTATTCCATGCTGAAAAGAGATAAAAGAAAACACAACGTTTCGGCTGTGGAGCCTTCTTCGCACCCGAAGAAAGCTCCACAGCCGAAACGTTGTTTTCTTTCTTCTTTTTTCAGCATGGAATAAACCTTTTACTTGTTCCTTTGCAGCCTACGCATGCTGACGCAGCTACCCACCATTTTCCTACATCTGTTGCTTTATACGCAGTGGACAGTTTAACAGAGCAGCATTTTCAATTCTAGTCTGAAAGGATATGTAAATACGCGAACGTCCCACGAAACCCCACCCGAGTGAGTGATTACTCACAGACTTCGACAGTAGGTCTTGAGGTCTCAGTGATCAAGGCGCTCTCAGAGAGCAGTTGGACCACGATAAGTAAACCGTTTTAAATGTTTCGAAGGAGAGTCAAGCTGGAGGCTCAGACCACCCTTTCTTAAAAATTGTCAATAATCAGAATCGGCAATTTTGTTTTTTTCCCCACCTGATCTGTAATGGCTGTGTACTTCTCACGTTACGTTACGGCTACCAAGCCCGCGAGTGTACACGGGAGAGACCGAGGAAGTGCAGACAGACCCCTCCCACCTATCTACCCTTGAGCCAATCGCCTTTTAAAACGTCACACACAGCACAGCCCCCAAGCGGAAGATCAGAGCTGATTAGGGGAGAGGCTGCCTAACTGCCAACCTCACCTGTCCCCAAGAGACTACCGGCCGACTCACGCTGCTTTACCGCTTTTTGATCCAGGCTCAAACTGCAATCAACGAGGTCACCATGCACGCAGGGACACGAGTGCCGTTATCAATTGCGCCACTGGAGTTTGTAGTGGCATGGCTAGGATTAGCTGGTCTGGGCTCTTTCTGGGCACCCAGCTTCTTTTACCATGTTTTACTATACTTGTTTTGTGCAGAAAAAACAACAACAACATGCACGTATGTATCTGTAAATCATTATAGACTTCAGGACTCTTCCAGCACACCAAGGTGTGGAATCACAGATTATGAAGGTGTGACCAGGTTGTCTGGTGTTCAATTCAGCTTAAATTTCTCAATCAGCTCAAAAAAGGGTATTTTTTTTTCAGGGTCTTTTAAAAGACTTTATATTTGAATTATGCACTGGATTCAAGGTACAGTAGCCTAATCAAGGCCAAAGAGTTGGGTTAGTTATCGTAATCAGATACAGAAACCGACAGGAGAGTGGTCCTAGAGCAGTGTTAAAGGCTTTGGCCACTGCTGTACACAGTCAGCACTGCCAGTCCTCGCCAGGATTCCCCGCCTTCCTAGGTTCTTATCCAGGTGCCCAGCAGAACGGAAAAGACCAGCCCAGTGATGATGACAGCTGTCGTTGAGGTGGGCCCAGGGTCCGAGGCTCCGTGATGGAAGTGTCCAGGGAAGAAGACTGGAAGAATAGACTGGTTCCGGAGTCCGATTCCATGTCCGT